ATTCATTCCTGGGCTGTAGGGCTGGTTCAATGTTTGCATATCAATCAACATGATACATCACATTAAGGGAAGAAAGGATAAGAAGCATATGACCCTGTCAATAGATGCATAAAAAGCACTTGACAAAATATAGCACCCTTTCTAATAAAAACTCTCAAGAAAGTTGGGATAGAAGGAACATACCTTAACATCATAAAAGCCATACATGAAAGGTCCACAGCTAATATCATACTCAATGGGGAAAAACTGAGAGCTTTCCCTCTGAGATCGGGAACATGACAGGAATGTTCACTCTCACCACTGTTGTTTAACATAGTATTGGAAGTCCTAGCCTCAGCAATCAGACAACAAAACAAAATGAAAGGCATCCAAATTGGCAAAGAGGTCAAACTTTCACTCTTTGCAGATGACATGATATTCTACATGGAAAAACCCAAAAGATTCCACCAAAAAACTGCTAGAACTGATCCACGAATTCAGCAAAGTTGCAAGATACAAAATCAATGTACAGAAATTGGTTGCATTTCTATACACCACTAATGAAGCAACAGAAAGACATACCAAGGAATCTATCCCATTAACAATTGCACCAAGAACCATAAAATACCTAGGAATAAACCCAACCAAAGAGGTAAGAGATCTGTATGCTGAAAACTAGAGAATCTTATGAAAGAAACTGAAGACACAAAAAAATGGAAAAACACTCCATGCTCTTAGAAAAACAAATACTATTAAAATGTTGATACTACCCAAAGCATTCTACACATTTAATGCAATCCCAATCAAAATAGCACCAGCACTCTTCACAGAGCTAGAACAAACAATCCTAAAAATTTGTATGGAACCAGAAAAGACCCCGAATAGCCAAAGTAATGTTGAAAAAGAAAACCAAAGCTGGAGGCATCACAATCCTGGACTGTAGCCTGTATCACAAAGCTGTGATCATCAAGACAGTATTGTATTGGCACAAAAACAGACACAAAGACCAATGGAATAGAATAGAGAAGCCATAAATGGACCCACAAATGTATGGCCAATTAATCTTCAACAAAGCAGGAAAGAGTATCCAATGGAAAAAAGTCTGTAGCAAATGGTGCTGAGACAACTGGACAGCGACATGCAGAAGAATGAAAAGAGACAACTTTCTTACGCTATACACAAAAATAAATTCAAAATGAATGAAAGACTGAAATGTGAGACAGGAAATGATCAAAATCCCACAGGCGAAAACAGGCAGCAACCTCTCTGACCTTGGCCTCAGAAACTTCTTACTTGACATGTCTCCAAAGGCAAGGGAAACAAAAGCAAAAATGAACTATTGGGACCTCATCAAGATAAAAAGCTTCTGCACAGCAAAGGAAACAATCAACAAAACTAAAAGATGGAATGGGGGAAGATATTTGCAAATGACATACTGGATAAAGGGTTTGTATCAAAAACCTATAGAGAAGTTACCAAACTCAACACCCCAAAAACAAATGATACAGTGAAGAAATGGGCAGAAGACATGAATAGATACTTTTCCAAAGAAGACATCCAGATGGCCAACAGAAACATGAAAAGATGCTCAACATCACTCATCATCAGGGAAATACATATCAAAACTACATTGAGATACCACCTCATATCAGTCAGAGTGGCAAAAATGAACAACTCAGGCAACAACAGATGTTGGTGAGGATGTGGAAAAAGGGAATCCCTGTTGCAATGCAAACTGGTGCAGCCACTCTGGAAAACAGTGTAGAGGTTCCTCAGAAAATTAAAAATAGAATTACCCTACAACCCAGCAATAGCACTGCTAGGAATTTACCCAAGGATACAGCAGTGCTAATTCGAAGGGGCACAGGCACCCCGATGTTAATGGCAGCACTATCAATTATAGCCAAATTATGGAAAGAGCACAAATGTCCATTGACTGATGAACAGATAAAGAAGATATCGTATATATACACAATGGAATACTACTCAGTGATGAAAATGAATGAAATCTTGCCATTTGCAAAAATGTGGATGGACTGGAGGGTATTATACTAAGTGAAATAAGTCAGTCAGATAAAGACATATCATATATATATGATCATATATCATGTGATTCACTCATATGTGGAATTTGAGAAACTTAACAGAAGATCATAGGGGAAGGGAAGGAAAAATAACATACAAACAGGGAGGCAAACTGTAAAAGACTCTTAAATACAGAGAACAAACTGAGGGTTGATGGGGGTGGGAAAATGGGTTGATGGGCATTGAGGAGGGCACTTGTTGGGAGGAGCACTGGGTGTTGTATGTAGTGATGAATCATAGAAATCTACTCCTGAAGCCAAGAGTACACTGTATGTTAACTAACTTGACAAAAAAAAAAAAAGACATATTAAAAACAAACAAAAAACAACCAAACAAAAACCCCTTCTCTGATTCTCTTTGTGACCCTTTTATATATGATATGTAAAATGCCAAACTATTTGGTATTTAATAATCAGCAACTGTCTTTAGGTTTTAGTAATTAAGACTTATTTTAAAGTTAAAATTAAAGTTAATGTCCTGGTCAAGAAGCTTCTTGGTTTTCATTGATCTTCCTAATTTATAGTTAACCACTATTATTAGTTTTCAATTCTTTCAAAAGTGTCCTCAGGACACAACTTTTAACACAAAGTTCTGATTATACTTATGAGACAATAAAAACTAAGTATGACATACAGTACCCAAAGTAGTAAAAATGAATACATTATTTAGAATGTCAATGGGATTCTTATTACTGAATTTTTTTTTTAATTTTTTTTTCAACGTTTTATTTATTTTTGGGACAGAGAGAGACAGAGCATGAACGGGGGAGGGGCAGAGAGAGAGGGAGACACAGAATCGGAAATAGGCTCCAGGCTCTGAGCCATCAGCCCAGAGCCCGACGCAGGGCTCGAACTCACGGACCGCGAGATCGTGACCCGGCTGAAGTCGGACACTTAACCGACTGCGCCACCCAGGCGCCCCTTGAATTTTTTTTTAAACCTGTGAACAGTGAGCTGAAAGATCTCTTTAATGTGTTTCCTATGAGAACACATTTCTATGGAAAACACACCAACATTTTTTTTTCTTTTTCTTTCTTTTTTCTTTTTCTTTTTTGCTTTATTTGTGTAGTTTTGAATATAGTACTATACCTTAATTCCTTGGCCCACTAAAATTTGGAGACCACAGAGGTAGATGAAAGAAAAGGACAAAAGGGTAGTCTTTAAGCAGATATTGAGCATTCAAACCATTATGCTTTTAGGATAATATTAAATTCCTACAGTGAATGAGGAATGGGTGAATTATTAAGGCTTACTGCTTGCTCCTTGGGTATATACTACTGTCACTATTACTAAGGATCTATATCCCTAATGCATGCTATTTTTTTGTTGTTTGTTGTTTTGAAGATTGAAGTAAGTGTGAAAGCACCCAGCAGTTAGTTCACAGATGTTCAATAAAGTTCAGTTGGATTTTCTAAGTCTTACTTGATGAGAAACACATATCCTCTGCTCTTTGGAAAGTTATAGATATTTGTTTGGTCTTCTATTTCCTGTCTTTCAAAGATGGCACTTCTGATTTGGCCAACAAACAGATATCCTATCCTTCTTATGCATTTGCATCTTGGGGAGAGGTTAGAATCTAAAAGTCAGTACATAAATGTGTATATGATGTAACTCCACTGGGCTACTATGACCTATGACCCTCAGAGGCTCTGTAACACTTTTATTTACCTAACTAAACACAACTCTGAGACTTAGTTTTACTTTTCATAATAAAAGAATGGTAAGAAGATCTAGGTTGAATTTACTATGGTTTCATTAATCTTAAAGGTAGGAACTATGCTATTTATGGCAGCAATTTTAACGAAATCCTTTCTTCTCTAAACATCTGCAACCAATTTATTAGAATGAAAACACATTACCGATAATCTCATTAACAAACATTGATACTACAACTGTACTAAAGATCTAAAATATGAAGCATATTTTAAAAGAATTTCAAATCTATTTATTTTAAAGATAAACAACAGTATTTTCTATTAATGAGAGAAAAGTTAACCAAAAAATAATTTACCTTTCAATAGCTTTCAGTTTTATCCTCTAGATGTTGACCCTCAAAACTTCTAAATATTATTCTTCAGTACAGTACAACCTGTGCTTTAGGGATGGTTTCTGGAACCTAGCATAAGCAGGTAATGTGAATGTAATTTGGGGCCCTTTAAAGGTACTGTTTGTACATACATAGAAAGATATTCATTATTCTATACATTAAAAGTAAACACTTCTTTGCCTTCATTTTTATTCTTAGTTCTGTCCTTTTGAGTTAGCTTAAGTAGAAATAGAGTATTTAATTTTTTCTTTGTGATTTGAAGTCTGTTCCTCATGCCTTTATTCACAGAGGTTTACCTGCAGCTATACTGTCTACTAAGATCAGAAATATTCTGAAGTCACCAGAACACCAGAGATGTCTGTTGTTATAATCAAATGGTATCTGGAATTGTTTTATCTTTCCCTTGAAACACATTATTTGAGTGTGCTTTGCCTAATGGAAAACCATCCTTGAGACTTTTTCTTAAAGGAGTTGTAGCAGTTATTAGAAGACCGGATTCTTTCCTGAGAGTTGAGCTAAGTGGAGCATTAGTTCAACATGATTAGCTGATGCACACCAAATCCCATGCTGACCAAATGGTGAATTTGGTGCATACTTTCTCCATTTTTCTCAAATTTAATGTGTTCAATCATAACTGTCTGAGAACAAGTTAAAGGCTTTTCCTCCCCTGAGATTTAAATACATGCTACTTTGTTCTGTGCTGAAATGTGTTAACTCTCTTATTCTGGATTGTGCATTGGAAAACTCTAATAAAAACAGTATAATTTGTTTTTAAAGGACTTCCATTGACAGAACATCTGCAAATTTAATGAGGCAATCCATTGAGATAAATACATCAACTAATAAATCCCCATACATGTAGCCAGTAGCATCACTGGCCAAGTACAAACCTGGGGAGGTTTGGAGACTTCCAGTTCCTTCTGGTCACAGGTTACCAGAGCACATCTTTCACATGGCAGATTATTTCTTAAACAGTTCTCTTTCCTGAAAATAAGCCATTCTACTGACCATACTTAAAACAAACTAAAGGAACCTATAATTAAAGAGGAGAGTGGAACAGAAGTAAACAGACTAAGACAAAGTTAGTTAATAGTAAAGGATTGTGTGCTTCTGTAGATACTTTCTTTTCTTCCCCAAAGTCATTATCTAAATCTTAACTCTTCCATATGCCTCTCATATGTGTTTCAATGCATAGATTATAAACTCCTAAAAATTAGGAACTGCCATAGTCTAGTTCTATAAATCTTCTTGCCCAACGTATAGTGTCTACGATAGTCTTAGTCACACTGTTGCAAACTAACAGTGGTTGACTAAATTCTATGCCACATCCAAAAAATACTTTTATCGAGATGTAGGAAATTAATAAAAGATTAATTGCAGATTCAATTTAATAGTTGTATGATTATTAATACTTTATTTTCCTTCTTGAGGCTGTTTTGGCATATTGTGTTTCTTTGAGAAATTTTTCCATTTCATACAAATGTTCAATTTTGTTGTCAGAAATTTATTGGCAAATTTACAGGCATGTTCCCTTTTATATACCTGATATTGATTATTTGAACGTTTCATTTTTTAAATGATTAGACTTACCAGAGATGTGTACATTTTATTAATTATTGAAGAACCAACTTTTGGAGGTGTTAATCATCTCTCCGTGTTTTTCTTCCAGAAACTACTAATCTTTTGATTTTTAATCTCTTCCTTTTCTAATATGTGTTGAAAGCTAATGTTTTCTTATATCATGGTTTAGCTCATCCCGTAAGTTTTGATGGGCAGTGTTATCATTACAATTCAATTATTTTCATTATTACTCAAATACTCTCTAATTTCCACTGTGAGTTCTTCTTTGACTCAGAAGTTATTTAGAGGTATAATTCTTAGTTTAAAGAATATGGGGATTTTCTACTTATATTTAGAACAATTTTTAAATTTTTACTTACATATATATATTTAAGTATATAATAAATTTTATAAGTATATAATAAAATTATATAATAAATATATAATACATAACAAATATATATATATATATATATATATATATCCCACATGCCCCATGCCCAGCGTGGAGCCCAACATGGGGCTTAAACTCACAACCCTGAGATCAAGACCTAAGCTGAGATCAAGAGTCAGATGCTGAACTGAGCCACCCAGGCACCCCCAAAACAATTTTTTTAAGCTTAAATGCATTGTGGTCAGAAACTACATATAATATAGTTTCAATTTTTTTGAAATTTATTAACATTTACTTCAAAGCCCAGCATATGGTCAACTTTTGTAAAATTTTCATACGTACTTGAAAAAATTATATAGTAGTTGGGAACAGTTTATAATAAACTGTTCATTGTTCAAATCTTGTATCTTTTTGGTTTTGTTTGCTTTTTCCATAAGATAGAGGAAAACATGAAAATATTCCCAGCATGATTGTAGACTTGTTTCTCCCTGTAGTTAATTTTTGCCTTATATATTTTGTAATTATGGTATTAACTAAATACAAACTTACATTTTCCTGGCAAATTGAAATTCTTTTCATTATGAAGGTTACCCTTTATCTTCCAGAATATTTTTGCCTGAGATTAACTAAAAATCTACTTTGATATTGATAAATATCCTTCCTTTTGATGAGTAATTGCAAATATGCCTTTTCCTTCCTATTACTTTTGAATTTTTTATACCCCTGTTTTAGATGTTTTTTCTAACCAGCAACTATTGGGCTCTATTTTTCCAATTAGTCATCTTTGTTTTATAATTGAAGCATTTAATGTACATTTAATGGACGTACTGACATATCTAGGTTTGAGTCTACTATCCTATACTATCTGCTTTACATATGTTTATGTACCAGGAATTAATTGCTTTACGTTGAGAACTACACCATGTGCATTAATATGACAGAGCTATGGGGTCTAAGAACTGAGACCACCTGTGTCAACATGATTTATTTGTTTGGTAAAGGAAATCTTTGCCCAGGAAAGATAAGGCTGTAAACTAATAAATAACTTCATTGTTTCAGGAAATTCTCATATATTAATTTATCTCAGACAATCTGCTCACCTTGGCAAAGAGCTCACTTATCAAACAACAGTTTACTTATCAGAACTTGCTTCAAGACCCTTGCCTTGCTATTAGATACCAATCATAAAACTTGTCATGAACTTTTCCAAATTGCAGTCTGGTCTCCACCTGAAAAGAGCCACCTTCAAAATGCTGTAAATATCCTCTCCTGACTTTACCTTCAGAGACCCTCAAGGCAGAATCCCCTATTACTACAGACAGTTTTAATAAATTCAGTTTTGCTTTATTAACAGATTGCCTGGAGACATTTTGTGGGAGTTCAATAACATATTTAATCTTTTAACGCTCATAACAACTTTATAAGTAAATTTTATTCTTATATTCTTTTTACAGATGAGAAACCTGAGGCATCCTGAATACTAAAGTGACCTACACAAGGACAGACAATAATTTAACTCATATGAATCTAAACTATGGTACTAATATTACTGAGCCTATCTTCCCTTGAAATCTTATCAATTTGAAGGTGGCATAAAGGAGCTCATGTTCTGACCCTCTCAGCCCTATACAATAATTACAGTACTAATTATGGTAATTAGTAATTTTGTTGTCTTTCTTACTAGACTGTGAGCTCTTTGAGAAAAGGGACATATCTTGTTTGTCTCCATGCTGCCAGTGCCTAGCCTAACGTCTGACACATGATAAGCATTCAATAAATGTTTCTAAAATGAAAATTAAATGAAACCCACTTTACAAATGAGGCTCTGAGATATTAAAAGTCTTGCTTTAGCTCACTCAGAATGTAACTGTCAGGATTGATGCTCCTGCCAATACATCACATTCTTTAGCTCAACTGTAAATGAGTTCTCAAAGAGCAGTTTTTATGAGAGGAGAGTCTACAAACATTGCAATGGGGATTCATGTGTATAAAGCTGTAGTCCTGCCAAAATATTATATTTCTTTGTTCTTTTGCTGAAATATTATCATCTCAGTGAGTCATACAAGTTATCTCATGTTGATTAGCTTGAATCACACAAATGTCTCTATTAAAAATGGAAAGTATTAACTGATAAATATAATTTCTGACAATGTTTTAAGGCATAGGGAAGTTACTACAAAGTTTCCTTGGTATTGAAACAGTTGGAGTTCACTTTACTAAACAGAGCTTTACACACATGAAGTTTTTTTTCTTTATTATAACGAGAAAATAATGTTATATAAATATTTAGGCATCAGGGCAAAAGTTCAAAATCTTACATATCTGGGAACGGTGGGTGGGGTGGCAAATGTGAACGTGTGCATGCTCGTAAGTGTACAGATGAAACAAGACTGGTAAAATGTTCATAATTATTGAAGTTTGTGATGAGCACATGCGATTTGTTAGACTCTACTCTTCATTTCTGAACATATTTGAAATGTTCCATAATAAAAAGCTTAAAAAGTGGCTATTTTCCCCAATATTGTACTAGCTATACAAAGTACCTGATCATCCACATATATAATGGCTGCAAACTTCCTATCACAACACAGAGCAAAAACTTATTCTTTCCATCTGCGGATAGACTCTAAAATTTAAGAGAGTAGTTACTTCTTCTGATGGGAGAATTTTATAGTCTTTTGCTGAGCATCAAGGAAGCTTTTTGCCAACTGTCGTATCTTCTGTGTATATTAGAAATCTCAAGATTTCTGCAAATGAAAAGAACCTGTACCACACTGGGCATAGCACTGGCCTTCTTTCATTCTCTCTTGCTTTTCTCAGACTGGCTTTCTACAGAGCACAAGGTAATTATCTATTTTAGTAAGATAAGTAGCTTCAAGATTCCTTAAAGTGAAGCTCACAAGATGCATATTTCTTTAAGGACACAGAATATCTTCTCATGTAACTTAGATGAAAACACATATTAAGCACTTTTTGTATATGCCTGGTTCCTGGGTGTTTCTTTCCTTTTTGGATTTTTCCCTCCAGATCACATGGAAAATCCTTCCAAAATCTGGAGGAAAATGAAAGTGATCTTCTGTGCTAATTTTATTATATATACACCTATAACTTTCCTCTGTCCAAAAAGTTTTTAAATCAATAAAAGTCAAAATGTGGTATGTAGCAAATATTAAGGGTCTCAAACAACAGGAAACAAGGGTCAGATTACAATGTCCTATTGATATAGTAACTCAGGAATGTAGGTCAATACTTTAAATATTTTCATGAGTTCTTATTTTATTAATGTATGCTTTGACAATGGAAAAATAGATTATGGTGTTCTGTTGTTAGCTATTATTTATTGTTTATTTAAAATATAGAGCAATGTTTTTTCAAATATTTACATAACACAACATAAATGTTTAGAAGAGCAAAATTAGTGATAGTTTCCACAAACAGATACATCTAATACCTTGCTTCAACTGAAATCATTGCTGCTTCTTCAGAGCAATAATAGCATAACATCTGGGAGATTTCACAGGATCAAACAACTTCACAAGTGCAGACCATGCAATATTTTCCTGCAAATTGATAAGTGATTTAAATACATAGCAATTTGTTGAAGATAAGAATGAAAGATGAGTCAGACTATATATTGTAATATAAAAACAACATAAAAGACAAACTACATAAAAGAAAATTATTCCTTGCTGAATGAAATTAACATTTACAATTTCACCTACAGGAATTTATGTTGAGGAAATAAAAGATTTACATAAGATAGTGAACTACAGGGTTATTCTTTGCTGAAATTGTGAAAGAGTGGAAGTGATAAAAAACAATTGGGCATTACTTAAAGAAATTATTATATGATGAAACATTATTCACCTTCTGTAGTATATTCAATAAGATGAGAAAATTCTGAATAAAATAAATGAAACAGATTAGATTCAAAACTGCACTTGTAATTCGATTCCTTTATCTTATCTTATCATCATCTTATCTTATGTTAGAGAGCAGGGAGGGGTAAAAGGAGAGGGAGAGAGAATCTTGAGGGCTCTGTCTCTGGACTGTGAGACCATGACCTGAGCCAAGATCATGACCTGAGCTGAAATCAAGAGTCAGACAGCTTGACTGACTGAGTCACCCAGGTGCCCCAGATTCCAATTTTAATTAAAGTAGAAATAATGTGCTCATATATATGTGTGCAACATATACATATTAGAAAGAGGCACTAGAATACAAAACAAAAATTAATGCTGAAAGATGGGACTGTTGTTATTTTTAATTTTCTTGTTTATATTCTTCATTTAAAACTTTCTAACATATAAGTGTTATTTTAGAATAAAATATTATTTAATATTATTTAACATTGCTATTATTTAACATTGCTATTTAAAAATTATTATTATTTAACATTGCTATTTAAAAATATTTTATTAACAAGTTAATATTTTATGCTTTATATCATTTCATTGCCAATCTATTAATCTTTGTGCATATTACTTATTTTATTTATTTTTTTACCATTTACTTATTTTATTTAGGTCAATGGAAATTGCTTTGAAAAGGTAAATAATGAGTACCTAGTAAAACAGGCCCAATTCTGTCACCTATGAAATTGGAAACCAAAGATTTCCAGTGATTTTGAATTACTTGGTAGCTTAAGAAAGTACACAATTATCCAAATATTTAAAAATTGTCTTTTTTTCCATAAAAATATAAATTAGAACAAAAGCAAGCATTTATTAAAATCCATTTGTTCCAAATAGCCTGTTGAAAAGAAGAAAGTAAAATTACCCACTATGATAGAACAAAATTGTTAAAATAAAGGGCTTATGGTGGAAACATGAGGCTGAATCCATGTATGGGTTTAATTTAAACAGTTCACATAACTATTTTGATCATAGCTCAGTGTAAAATCTGCAAAAAAAATTTTTCCTTAAAGACAAGCAAAAAACCAGTTTTTTTTTGTGCATTCAACATAGATTAAAAAAAACCAAGACTGTGAAGAAGCAAAAGCAATTTTCACTGATCAGAAAGAAATTTTTATACTGCAGATTACATATGTCCAAAATCCAAAAGTGATTTAAAAGGTAAATTTTCATTAAATGAAACATATATATATATATATAATATCTTTTATGTCTGGCCTTTATTAAATTTAGCTACACAATACGTCATATATGATAGTTGTGTTCACTGCCTACCATACAGTAATTACCATACAATTAAAAGAACATAAACTTTATTATAATAGGTTTGCTGAAAACATCTGTTGTACATATGTTTATGTTTAAAAAGAGATGGAATGAATATTTAAACTTGGAAAATATAATAGGAAAAATTATCTGACTAGCTGTATGCAAAAGAAACTTATCCTAGGTAATAGTGGATCTGTTTACTATATTAAATAAAGATATTAGTTATATATTTTAAAATATAATTTACCTGCTCTTTCAGATAGCAAAGTCGATCCAGAAGAATCAGTGTCTCTATACAAGGAGCCAGAACAACTTTCAACTAAAAGAAAGGATAACATAGGATGGTAGAACTTTATTTTATTTTATTTTAAAAAAAAATTTTTTTTTTCAACGTTTATTTTATTTTTGGGACAGAGAGAGACAGAGCATGAACAGGGGAGGGGCAGAGAGAGAGAGGGAGACACAGAATCGGAAACAGGCTCCAGGCTCTGAGCCATCAGCCCAGAGCCCGACGCGGGGCTCGAACCCACGGACCGCGAGATCGTGACCTGGCTGAAGTCGGACGCTTAACCGACTGCGCCACCCAGGCGCCCCAGGATGGTAGAACTTTAAAAAACAAAACAAAACAAACAAACAAACACAAACTAGCTTAACACTTATGTTCAAGAAAATGCATCTACAGAAATTTATATAGGGCCAAATCTCCAATACCAATTATATATGTTCAGAAAATGAATACTGCAGAGATCAAAAGTTTTTCTTTAATAATAACAGGAATCCAAAGGCAGTGGTACGTATGACAGAGAGTTTTCAGAGGTACTAAGAATGAAATTCATTAAAACGCATGCTGGGGAAATAACTGCATTGAGACAAGTATGTGTTCAAAGAACTCTGAAATTTCTTCTGTGCATTTATGATACATTTTAAGAGAAATCTACCATGTGTTCTCTTTATTACATTACTGACACCTAATATAGTTCTGAAATAGGAAATGGTCCAAAACGGTTTTTCTACAGTAAGAGAAAAACAACATAGATTGGTTGGTCCCACAATAAAATTTAATTGAACCCCATTCAAGTCTGGCAACATATCCAATTTAATATGTTCATTTCTGAGATTTACCATATTAAAAGCTTCCAGCTCATTCATTCTAGGCTTGTACTTCTCGTAGTAGTCCATTATAACTTTTTCTGGCAGCTTCAAGATAAAACAACAAGAAATGTAACAACAGTTAAAAAAAAAGTTTTTCCTTATCAAACATTAAGGTAAAACCAACATTAACAATTTAAAACAAATTTGGGTGTGTGAAGAACTCTAAGGATATGAATGAAGCAAGTCAATAAAGTTCTTTCATTAATATCTTCTATACCTATTCAGCATACTGTAAATAAAAACAGCAGTAACATCCTATTAATATTGTTTAATTTCAACAAGTTGATGAAATATTTACCTTGTTTCTATGTTTAGGGTACGTAGTAGGAGCTCAATAAACATTTTTTTTGAGTAAAATTAAAAATTTTAAATGATATATCTAAAACTATATATCCTAGAGAATAATTCAAAGGCCACAAAAACCCAGTAAGGACATATGTTCATATTTAGGGTAATTTCCTCTAACATGCACATAACAAATCCATCAACAAGCATTACTTTCTGGTTTTCCTCAAAAACATAGGATACCTATAATACAATGAACCCTTGTGGTTAGCAGGCCGCTTTTTAGAACATATATGCTTCTGTTCACACCAGTTGAACTTTCTTTACTGAGTCAATTGTATTTGTTTCTAAACTTGTTATGCCAGTTATAGTATTGTAATGATATAAGTAAATATTACATAATTAATGAAATATTAATGCAAAAGGAAAAGTTGTTTCTATAAATTGGATGCCTTTGTGAAAGGATTGATAAAGGAAAGTCACTAGAAGAAATTGCTGTCAAATTACATGTGGTCAAAACAAACGTAAGTCTGGATAAAAAGAGTAAAATATCTGAAAGGATTTGTATTTAGATTTTCTCTGCAAATGTCTACCTGAATTTATTATTTTTTCAAAGTCCCTATTCTTTTTCTTACTGAACTAAATTTCTTTTGAATTTAAAAAGTATAAAAAGGTTAATGGTGAAAAGCAAGGTTTTGTCTCAGTTTCTAGTGCAGCTTTCCAGAAAAGATTTTCCCTTTAGTACAGAACCCAAGCAGATTATACCTCCTTCCCCAACCCTTTTATTTTCAAACAAATTATTGTTATTTTTTATTTTTTCATTCTCAGGTTAGTTAACATACAGTGTAGTCTTGGCTTTCAGGAGTAGAACAGTGATTCATCTCTTTCATATGGCACCCAGGGCTCATCCCAAAAAGGGCCCTCCTTAATGCCCGTCACCCATTTAACTTACCCCCTCACTGCAACTCTCAGTTTATTCTCTGTATTCAAGAGCCTCTTACGGTTTGTCTCCTTCTCTGTTTTTATCTTATTTTTACTTCCCCACCACTTTTAAAAATCTTGCCCATCTTTGAATCAAATGAGTACCCCTAAACCAAACTTCTGCAGTAGTGTATATTGGACTGGATCCAGGCCTGCGATTCAAGCCAGGAAAACTTATCTCACAAAATTGTGTGTGTGTTTGAATTACAGCCTTTAGTTAGTCTTCTCTCCAGCCATCTGAGATCAGCAGTTACGGGACAAGTCAGAACTCATCATCTTTTTCTGATCCTGCCTCACCAGCATACTGCTTCCTATAAATATAGTTTTTCAGTGTGATTCCTTGGGTTCTCCAGTATTCTCTGTTTCTCTCTTATGCCAAATTGGGAAGCACAACCCTGGTCATCGATTGCATTTGTCCCAAACTAGGAACTGTTGATTTTGCTCCTCAGAATATTCCAGTCTAGAGAACTGTGTTGTTGGTTTTGTCAGTGATCTGTAACCCTGGGAATTTTCTTTTGGTATCTTTCTCCATCCCTCTTTACCTTCATTGTGCTTCATAAAACACATGATTTGAGATTTAGCATGCTTTCTGATTTTGTCAAACAAGTTGTGTTTTGGTTTTTATTTGTTGCTTTTGTGTGACTCTGAAGGGAAAAGGTGAGAACATCATCTTAACTCTCCTATTTTTTAAAAATGGAAATTGCTTGTTTAAGGGAAACAAAGCTGGTCACTGTAGACTGCCTTAGAGGTATGCTTGATGTAAAAAAATTAAGACGGAACTCCAAAGAGTTACCCTATACAAAGCTGTGTGCAAAGACCAAAACAACAAATGGCCTTGTGCTTACACCAAAAGTCTGGTAAGTAAAAGTATATTAACATGTTTTTAAGTGAAAAATTCAGTGTTTTAAGTTTTCATCAGTTTTTTCAGTGATACACTCAACTGCCAGTTTCATTACATTAGATCACAGAGATTATCTGGAAAATTTAAAAAGATATTATCTCAGTTAATCCTAACATCAATCTGTGACATACATATTTTCATATCATTTTTTTTTTTTTTTGGTGTAAAAAGGTGATTTTATTAAAGCACAGGGCATGATCTGTGGGCAGAAAGAGCTGCCTTCATGATCTCATTTTGCAGATGACATTATTGAGTGTTAAAGTCAGTGAGTCACTGCCTGGGGCAGATCATACTTCGGCAAGGACATAACATAAAAACTTACAAGTTGACGTGCACATTGAATGGCAGTTGAGAGTACTGATCATGAATTTTATTGCTCCCTGTTGCCCATTCCCTAGACTCCAGAAAAGGAGATTAATATGAGTTAAGCTATGCAATAGGGCCCTAGCTCAGAGAGCTAAGTTTTGAGTTTAGGGAGATACCCAGTCTGAAAGAGAAACTGGAGTGAGAGGCTGTAAACAAGCGGTTATGTTCATGTTCAGGTGCTTTAGATTATTTTCCCCACTTTTTAAATAATTTTTGACAGTAATTTTAACTCCAGGATAGCCTTTGTGTTGGACAATACCTGCAAAGGTTTCAAGAGTCAAAGTTGTGGATACAAGTATCTCTTCTTTAATGCTTCAGTAAGATTCATAAGTCCTTGAATATCTTCTGTCTTTATTTCAAACCTCAATTCTTCAGTCTCCTTTAGAAGTACATTTATTTTGTCTCTTGGCTGGCATGAATTTTCTCTTTATTCTTCCTTACTTGTCTGATTTGGAAAAATGTTAAATGAACATTTTTCTTGTGCTCAATGTCTGCTAATAAGTTATATAAATAGGACCAAAAGAAGTACACAGTCTAGAGTTAGACAGTCTGGATTGGAGTTCTTTCTCCTCAATTATGTAGATTTTGCCTTAAGAAATGTACTTATCCACTTAAACTGTGTCTCAATTTCCTTATCTATAAAATGAGTATAACAGTATTCATTTCACAAGGTCATTCTTAGTATTCAGTAAGGTGATATAAACAATGCTTTTGGCAGTGTCCGGCACAAAGCAATGGTTCAATAAACATTATCTTTTCTCATATTGTTTTTTTAAATAAACTTATATTTTAAAAGTTTTAGATTTACAGAAAATTTGAAGATAGTATAGAGAGTTCCCATATACCCTATACCAAATTTCCTCTATTATTGACACCTTACAATGGGGTTATTTGTTATAATTAATGAACCCAATACTGATAGACTGTGTTAGCTAAAGTCCATTATTTTACTGAGAATTCCTTAGTTTTTGCGGCATCTGCCTGACTCAGTCAGAAGAACATGTGACTCTTGATCTCAGGGTCATGAGTTTGAGGACCACATTGGGTGCAGAGATTACTTAAATAAATAAAAACTTAAAAAAAATAATTTCTTTGTTTTCACCTAATGTCTTTTCAGTTCCACCATCCTATCCAGGATATCGCATTGGATTTAGTCCTATTGGTTGTGATAGTTTCTCAGACTTGTCTTGTTTTTGATGACCTTGAGAGTTTTAAGGAGTAATGGCTAGACATTTTGTAGAATGTTCTTTCACTTGGATTTGCAGATGTTCTTTCTCATAATTAGACTAGGGCTATGGGTTTTTGAGAGGAAGAAATAGAGTACCATGTTCCTGACATATCAAGGATACCTATCAACATAATTTAACATCATTGATATAGACCTTGATTACCCGGATAAGACAGTGTTTGTCAGGTTTTTCCACTCTAAAGTTCCTCTTTTTTCCACTTTTCATACTGCACACTTTGGAAGAAAGTCACTATGTACAGACTACATTTAAGGAGTGGGGACTTATATTTCATCTCCTTGATGGTGGAGTATCTAAATAGATTACTTGGAATTCCCTTCCATGGGACATTTGTCTCTTCTCTTTATTTATTAAAGTTTTTTTGTTGTTGTTTTTTAATATAAAGGGGCCCAGGTAAGCAAACATGGACTATACTGCAATTTCATAGAAAGTGGGCTGGATGACTGGATGAGAGATACATGGCTGTTTAGAGATCCTCCCACATTGTGCATGATCAAACCTGGGTTAGCAATTAACTTAGTTCTCACCAAGAGATGGTGAGACTGAGGCTGCTGACATATCCATGGCTAGGCCATAACTGGTTCAAGAACTAAGGTAGGTGGATGTGAAGGTGAAGCCCATTAGGCGATCTGCCCAGGGAGCTGGGAAGACAAAGCCAGTGGCAATGAGACTGAATTGGTTGTAACAGTCTTAGATTAACAAAGAAAGTTATTCATGCTATTATTCAAAGGATTAGTGTCACTACGAATCTTTTGCAGTATAATGCAAAGATGACTCAGTATGATTCTTACTTTTAGAAATGATGTGATTATGTACATAACATATTCATAAGCCCTGAAATTTATGGACAATAAGATAGAAGTTTTCTTTTCTTTTTTTTGCTTTAACGTTTATTTATTTTTGAGACAGAGAGAGACAGAGCATGAACAGGGGAGGGGCAGAGAGAGAAGGAGACACAGAATCTGAAACAGGTTTCAGGCTCTGAGCTGTCAGCACAGAGCCCGATGCGGGGCTTGAACTCACGGACCCTGAGATCATGACCTGAGCCGAAGTCGGACGCTTAACCGACCAAGCCACCCAGGAGCCCCAAGATATAAGTTTTCTTAAAAATAAAGCAAAATGTAATGTATAAAGTTATTTCCATATTCTCTAATGTATACCTGTCCAATAATTAGTTAACAGAAATAAAATTTGAACTTTCTACTATATGAAAGCAGAATCTACATACAAAATATTAACTTCAGCTCATAGTTATTCTAAAAATG